TTCTGATGCTCATACTGTAGGGGACCTGGTCCTTGAAGATCAATCACTGACGTGAAAAATGCTTCGTTTGTTGAGCTCCACAGGTGACTTATCGAGGTGGTCGTGGGACGAGCTGATCTTTGAAGACGAGTCCGAGAGGGGCAGCAACGCGCTGCTTGCGCGGGCGTGGTCACCAGGGTGGCAGAATGCTGACAAGGCACTGATGGCCTTCCTCAACGGTCCGCTGATGGACTACTCCGTGAACCGCAAGAAGGCCGACAGTGCCAGCACGTCCCTGCTGTCTCCGTACCTGCACTTTGGCGAGCTCAGCGTCCGCAAGGTCTTCCACCAGGTCCGGATGAAGCAGCTGATGTGGAGCAACGACGGCAACCATGCTGGCGAGGAGAGCTGCACCCTATTCCTCCGCTCCATCGGCCTGCGGGAGTACTCGAGGTACCTCACCTTCAACCACCCCTGCAGCCACGAGAAGCCCCTTCTGTCGCACCTCAGGTTCTTCCCCTGGGTCGTCAATGAGGTGTACTTCAAGGTTTGGAGGCAAGGGAGGACTGGCTACCCTCTTGTCGACGCTGGCATGAGGGAGCTCTGGGCCACCGGGTGGGTCCATGACCGGATACGTGTCGTTGTCTCTAGCTTCTTTGTCAAGGTACTCCAGCTGCCATGGCGCTGGGGGATGAAGTACTTCTGGGACACCTTGCTGGATGCTGACCTTGAGAGTGACGCACTAGGCTGGCAGTACATTTCTGGGTCTCTCCCTGATGGCCGTGAGCTTGACCGCATTGACAACCCTCAGGTACTTTAGGCCTTTCCTCTATTCAATCTTTTCATGGGTAATAAAGCAGCACCTTGACGAATTATATCAACTGAATTTTGCAATGTGTTCAGTTTGAAGGGTACAAGTTTGATCCGCATGGGGAGTACGTACGGCGATGGCTACCGGAGTTGGCGAGGCTGCCAACAGAATGGATACACCACCCCTGGGATGCACCAGAGTCTGTGCTTCAGGCTGCAGGAGTTGAGCTAGGCTCCAACTACCCACGCCCCATTGTTGAGTTAGATGCTGCCAATTCCAGGTTGCAGGATGCCCTGTCAGAGATGTGGGAGCTTGAGGCAGCCTCTCGTGCTGCGATGGAGAATGGAATGGAAGAAGGCCTCGGTGATTCCACAGATGAGCCACCGATCGACTTCCCTCAAGAATTACGGATGGAAGTGGACAGACAACCGGTTCAACCTGCTATCCACACACCGGCAGTGGCTGGTTGGAGACGAGAAGATCAGATGGTGCCTAGCATGACCTCCTCATTCATTAGAGCTGAAACCGAACTCACTGCAGATTTTGGCAACACCAGTGAGGACAGTAGGCCAGAAGTGCCATCAAACATTCATTTGCAGGCTCGGGCAGAGAGGGAAGAAACAGTTGACGGTGGCACTGGCAATACTGTCAGGATGAATGGCAACCATCAGCAGCAGAATCTTCAGAACAATATGCACCGTGTGCTAGGTATTGCTCCATCAGTTTCAGAGGCATCGAGCAGCTGGACGGGCAGGGAAGGTGGAGTGGTACCGGTCTGGTCACCTCCGGCAGCTTCGGGACATTCTGATCCTTATGCTGCCGATGAGGCTGACATTTCCAGTAGGAGTTATTTGGACAGGCATCCACAATCACATACGATGATGAACTGGAATCAACTCTCTCAGTCATTGTGAGTTCAGTTGCACGGTAACCTATTTTTGCAGAAAAAATGCATTGTCATAGATTGAAAATTTGCAGCTTATAGCAAAAAGTAGACAGTAGTTGTCTAAAGTCATTGTTAATGTGGCAGTTAAAATTAACTGACAACTTGAATTTGATGTGTAGTAGCTGAGTAGAACATTCCAAATGCCTACTAATGATCCCTTTTTTATGAATATCTTAATGCAGGACAACAGGGTGGGAAGTGGATAATTAGTGCTGTGTGTCCGGATTTAATTGGTTAGGAGTTCAGCAGAGAGAATTATTTATATAAATCTGTAAATTATCACATTTTGTTCGTCTATAGCCTTGGTGTGCATGCAAGTCATCAATCATGTAGCTTCCTGGATGCAATAATGGTTATGTTGCTAGTTGTATAGAACCTTGTGGTATAGGTTGCTAGGTGTCCACGAGATATGTATTATTCGTCAGATAAGAGTTTTCTAGCATCAGGTTCATTTTGTATCTATTGCAGTTTTTGGTGATGGGATAGTCAACATAGAGGTGTGTTCTCAGTTTGGTAGACATAGAACTTACCTGCTATCTGTGAGGACTCGAAGGGAACATCTTGGCAGTGAGATTGTGTGCCACTCTTGCGTGCTGCTACTTGCCTCAATAAAGAAGTTACCTGAAACTTTTTCACAATGCACCGTGGTGAATTGATCAGGTGATATGAAAGACAATGGAAGTTTAGGATGACAAGCAATGAGATTTACTAGAGGTAACATAAATGATTTACAAGGATTGCACATCTTATGATGGGAACATATCTAGTGCAAATCAACCATCCCGTGCAACCTTGGAAACTATGAATCAGGGCCACAAGATGCTAATCCAATTGACAGGATTAGAGGTGGGATTATTTTGCGCTTAAGCCCCCCACCAGCCGGCCACTTTTCCAACTAGAAACGGACGCAAGGGGGTGGGGGGTATTGGAAAAGTGGCCAGCTAGTGGGGGGCCTTAAGCGCAAAATAATCCTACATTTAATCCTGTTCATTGGATTAGCATCTTGTGGCCCTGATTTGTAGTTTCCAATGTTGCACGGGGTAGTTGGTTTACACCAGATACGTTCAGAAAAACTACCAGACATACTACCGGAGACAACATAGATAATTAAGCAATCGCATGGAGACAACATAGATAATTAAGCAATCGCATGGCAACCCCTCCACTCTACCATATGCTGGGACAACGAGCACATCATGCACATGATGCTTTGCCCTGGCCGAGTGGGAACCGTAGCAATCACAATCGACAAGCAAAACCATCTGAATTAGACGAGTCATTGCAGGATAAAACTAACAACTAACATAGTGCAGATTCTCAATGAGAAGGATTGAGCACACGATAATTGGTTTTTAGTTTCTGTCATCATAAATATATATATTAAGTCACATAGTCTAAATAACAATCCATGAAAGATACAATAGGTTCATCATGCTGTGCAAATATAGACAGCTGCACATGTAAATACTTCGTTAATATGAAACCTCCTTCAAGAAGTTACATGCAAGCATGTCAACTGCCTGCTGAAACTGATTCCAGGCTAGTGTCCTACTAATATAATTCTATATATAGATCAGTAGATAACTGAAACATAGCTTCACGAACAGGCAACTCTTCAAGAGTCCCATCTGGCCCACTTGACAGTGCAAATTCCAGCCTTATGGACAAGATGAGGTTAGCATTACATCCTGCTGATGATATTTCCCATCTCTGACAATTATGCACATCAGTCTTTCTTCTTCCTATCAACATATGGATACTTCTGGTAGATGAATATGCTTGTTGCGACAAGTGGTAATGCCATCAGGCAATAGAGCGATGGTGGCTTCCCATCAAACACAAATTGTAGCAGTGCAGTTACAAGGAGAGCTGACACTATAACAAAACCCTGAAAAAAAAGTCCAGTTCCCAGATGTCAATGAAAGGCATGGCTGTTTTTCATTTAATGTCAGTTTAGGCACTTGCCTTTCTAACGCCACCTGCATAAGTTGTGACAAGACCAACAAGAATTCCACCCACGGCATTCATTAATACCGGTACCTGAGGTAAAGAATGGTGATTAGAGACCCACACATCAATGAAGATCTATTACCGCTTTTGCTTCCATCTGTGTCGGATGTTACAGATGTACTTGTCAGTCAATGCAGGACATATCAGTGCCTTCAAAAGATTGGCATTAAAAATTGAAGCATAAAGGGAGGCAATACCTATTTCAATAATTTGGTGAGAAAAAGTTCACTTGCACTAAAGACAGTGAAGCAATATCCTAGTTAGATCCTCGAAGATCAATATTTACCTACTTGGCTATTTTAGACCAGTCAAGCAACAGATGACATCAATATGGAAAAGCCTAATTATCAAGGCAAATGGCAAGGGTGCAATGCCAGGATATTATCCTGTCTTAACCATGAACCATCCATAAAAAAATTGGAATGCCTAGATTAACTGCTAGCCTGCTAGACTGATGTGCTACCTTAACAACTCACTAATGTTCTAGGTTCTACATTAACAAAAAAATTGAAAATTGAAAATTTATCTTATAGAGTTAATTACATAAAGCAGAAGATTGGAATTGCGTACTGGAAATATTGGTAACCAAGGTGTACGGTGTTTTTCTCCATTTCAGTAACAGCATGTCATTGAAGGGCGGGCCTGGTGCAAGCGGTAGAGTCTTACCGCCTGTGACCGGAAGGTCCCGGGTTCGAGTCGCGGTCTCCTCGCATTGCACAGGCGAGGGTAAGGCTTGCCACTGACACCCTTCCCCTGACCCCGCACAGAGCAGGAGCTCTCTGCACTGGGTACGCAGTAACAGCATGTCATTGCAAATAGAAGTAGTTTGTGACAAAGAACACTCGTCTTTTAGGTTACATTCCCGCCTGTTATATACATACATATATGAAAACACGACCGGCCAAAGGAAGTACCCTACAATAACAGAAAGGTAATAAGACCCTTTGCCCCCGCGAGGATCCATTGATGGACCTCAGTCCCTACCGATTGCAGCAAGCACTCCATGGAAGGTGACCGGTGCTGAAGACAGTCATTCCTGTGGTTACAAATCGTCCATGCACCCAGTATGACCAGCGAGTTGAAGCTCATGTGTTTCTCCTTGCATACAAGGAGCTCTGATCAACGCCACAACTCTACAAAATTGTCCATCGGCGCAGCTGGCTGGTCTGAGAGGCTGCAGCAGCTAAAGATGCAATGCCAGGCCTCAAGGGCGAACACACAGGTCATAAGTGCTAGACGTCCTCATCAAACTGATCACACATTGTGCAGCTCGATGGGTGTCATTCCTCTTCTGGTCTGCCTGTCTGCAGTCAAGCACCGGTCTAAGATGGCTAGCAAGAGGAAGAGCTTGCAGCGCGCAGGTGCCCAAGATTTCCACAGCCTTTTGGCAGGTTCAAAGAATGAGGAGCCATGGAATAATGCCCAATATGTAGAGCTCGCAGAATACTCACCAGAGAGGCTGTGGCACCAATAGCGAACAACGAGAGGTCTGGCTGGAGGACCACCTCCACCAGGTCCCAGACATGTAGGTACTCTGCCAGGACAGAGGCTAAGTGCCCCTCTTATGTCCCTCACCCATCTGCGGTCAGGGAGGGCCTTATGCACCGTGTGGCAAGCTGAGATATGTTCAGAAACCACAGTGAACAGGTTCAGCGCCAAATCAGTTAAGCGGTGGTCATGCAACCATCTGTCTCTCCGAAACAGTGCGCTTAAGCCCTTCCTGATGGTTGCGATGACTGAGATATCGAACAGCCAGCCGCCAGGGCATGCTATGTCCTGATGCAGAGAAAGCCACCATGGCTAGTCCGGCTCTGTTTTTCTTTTCAACCACAGCCACCTCATCCATAAGGCCCATCCTAGCATGGCAAGGTTGTGGATACCGAGCCCTCCAAGTTCTGGCGGTCAGCAAACCCAAACCCAAGCAACCAAGGAGGGCCCTCCCTTCGCATCCTTCCTCCCCTACCAAAGGGAATTCTGGCAGATTTTGTCGATTGCCCTGAGAGCCCATGGTTGGGGGGTCCATCGCTATTAGCTGGTAGATGGGGATCGATGTTAGCATGACCTTGACCAGAACCACCTGGCAGCTCTTGTCATCAGGGAGCCCTTCCATCCTGGCAGCTGGTCTGCTATCTTGTCGATGAGAGGTTGAAGATCTGCTTTGTTCATCTTGTGAATGGACAAAAATGGCAAGCCAAGGTAGGCGCATTGGCATTCCTTGACCTCGCAATGAAGAACACGGTGGATAGGAGAGACCAAGCTTTTCTGTAAGTTGGCATGCAACTTATCCCATCATAGGATGCCCTTGATCATCACCACACAACTGGTCACAGGAATGGCACGACATCATCCATGTAGAGAGACACACGAGGTATCTGTCGTGGCATGAAGGGCTGTAACAGTCATTGCTGCTGGCCTTGTTGATGATGGGATGTCCTCTACCTTATCATCCACTCTCCCCTGCCATAGGCTTCGTCAGTGCATGATCTCCTCGCCCGGCTCCCCATTTGCATAGCCCGGGTTATTACAGAGAAGGGAAGCGTACAAAGCAGGTCGCACCATCCGTGGCCAAAACTGTCACTGCAGTACATCCAAAAGGAATGGCAATGACAGTGTCAGAAGCCTTGGAGATGCCTAGCTTCATCATGATTCTGGGCTCCTTCTGCTAGTGTAAGTGCTTGGCTGTCTGTTGAAGCAGCATAAAGTTGGATTGGGCGACACCACTTCTTGCAGTCTCAGTGCCAGGTGATTCTCCATCAGCTTAGCTACGAGCTTGGCGAAGCCATGTATAAGGCTTATTGGGTGGTAGCCTTTGACGGCAATGGCATCCACCTTCTTTGGGACTGACCAAGCGCCTCCTAAGAGGTCAGACTTGATTACTCCCCAGCAACACTGGTAGAACCTGCCTGTTTTTGGGCCTGGCAACTTATCGGAAGGGAACTCCTTGACTGTTTGCCACACCTCCGTGAAAGGCACATCGAGAGCAAGTAGGTCATGCTCCGGTAATCCTAGTGCTTCTAGGTTGATGGAGTGATCCCACCGCTGATCAGTGCCCATGGTCCCCTAGTCGACATAAACCACCTGGTGTTTTCCTCCTGGTTGGTCACCATCCGCCCGTCGGTGATCAGTTTGGCAATAAAGTTCTTCCTCTTGTGATACCGAGAATGCAATGGAAGAAGGCCATGTCCGCATCCCCTTCCCACAGTTTCGAGATGTGTGATTGTAGCATGTTATGGCACATCCCCCAGCGAGTGCTGCTTGAGTTTTCGCCTCAGCCACTGCTCATCCAGGGATAAAGCCCTTGTGTCCTAGGCAATCGCTAGGAGGTGCAGGATTTCTCTCACCATGCCAGCTGCAACTTGGGGCGTGCTTGGTTCCCACGCGAGTTCGCTCGCCGAACTCGCCTCATCAGCGTTAGCCACAAGGAGCTTACCGGGCTAGGCAAGCCAATTTGGCTCGCTTCAGCTAGCAAGGGTTACAGCTTCCAAACCTCGTTCCACACAAGCTCCGAGAAAAGTTAGCTCGACATCCAAACGCATAGCTCGGTCGGTATCCTAGCTAGGCAAGGCGGCACATTACTGAGCCAAGAAACCAAGCATGCCCTTGATATTGCCCACTTGGCATTGACTCCAGCTCTGCAGCGCTCACTCAGGCGCTTGAATTTGTGGACGCTCAACCGGGCACAAACTATATGCTGGCTGTTCCCAAGAAGTCTTGACAGTGTCGATGAAGCCATCAAGGTCAGTCCAAACTCTCCAAGTGGAACCAGCATTTCATAGATGGGTTGTCGTGAAAGCCAAGGAGTAGTAGGCAGTGATCTGACGGCATTGTTGCCGCACTTTGTAAGAGACAGTTGGGGAAGATCACCTCCCAATCTGCCATGAAAAAATGCTCTGTCAAGGTGAACCAATGTCGGGGATGCACGCTCGTTGGACCAGGTATTATCTTCTCCTAATGAGAGGAACCACCTAAACCTGCCCATTGGACCAGGTATATACAGCATGCATGCTAAGGCTGTGCAGAATCCAAATGATTTAACTGCTAAATCACATAACGGCATCCAATGTGTACATTTTAGCTATCCCAATTTGTTTATTTTCTGAAACTAAACTTATACAACTACAGTTAAGCACCAAATCTTTATGGTTTTTTAATGCACATAACAGACAACTTGGGTCATGTCCAGAGTTTACCCAACAGTGAGAGGGGTAAAAAACATAATGGAATAACAAAGAGTACTCACCACAGTCCAGAAAGTCCATTCATGGAAAAATCCATATTTCCTGATGGCCTCTCCATCTGGTGACCGATAGGTACTTGCTAACAAGCACATACTTCCAATAAATGACATCTCTATGGTCATCATGTAAGAGGTATGTTTTTTAACCTGAAGTATTAGTGAATATGTTAGCATTGACCATAAACTGCATCCTGGAAAGTAACAAGGTACGAAAGTCCAACCTGAGATGCCCACTGACACAATGAAGAAGCCAACCCAGACAGCATAGAAGCGACTGTAACTGGAATGATCCCATATAGCAAGATATAGTCAGAGCCAACACCCTTGGAACCTTTGCTACTACTCTCCCCTACACTTAAAAGAACGGCAGCACCAATTAAGAGGGCCAATGCTAAAATTTGCCTGGAAGATTGCTTTTGCCTGCACAATGTTGCAATCAAACTAATGAGTGCTTGACTTACTATTACCAGACCTTTGTCTGCGATGTTGCAAAAGGAAATCAAACTACTGAGAGCTGGTAGTTGTTTAATCAGAGAGTTAATGACGTGATATGGTGTACGGAGAAGTTTTAAATGAAAATAGAAGAGTCCCAACTTTCATGTGGTAAGTGATCTGTAGTAGACTATAAGCCTAGCTCTGATTATTAACACGATCTACCCAAGAATTAGCTCCAAACCCAATCATTAGAAAACAGACTAAATAGACACAAAATTGACTACTTCCCTAGTAGGCTAATTCTATATCATCCAGGCTTGATGATGAAACTCCATGCTGGGATTTCGTTTTTCATAACACATCAACCACTACTAGTTCTGCAAAATCCTTGAGGTCCCCTCCCCCCCCCAAAGACACATACATTTTTTATGGAAACTATGCTTATCGCTCTTGAGCTAAAAAAGGCATGGACGAGTAGGCTCATTGAATTATTAGCTTTGTGGCTGATTTTAAATATGTAGAGTTTTCATGTGGGCTTCCACATACTGAACAAATGTTGCAGGTAAACTTTAAAGCACCAGACAAGTTTTTAGAAGTGCTGCTTTTCCATTAGGTGATTATCTTCTGGTCTCAGGCACGATATGGAAAGGATGAAATGGCTCCATAAGTATTCAATACTAAGGAAGTTCCAACTGTAATACTTGCATACATATTCTGGTAGTTATTTCTTCAGATGATCTTCAACCTGAGTATTTTTAAGAAATTGAAATGCAAATAGGGACATACCCCAAAATAAGAAATGTGAAAAATGCTGTCCACAAAAGCTTAGTCTGGTTAAGGATTGAAAAGGTCAAGGAATCCAGATTCTTGTATGATACTTGCAGCAGACTATTCTGGAGGGCATAGATGGCAGCAGGCAGTCCAGACGCAGTCAGTGATCCAGTGAGAGTCCAGTTACTGAACTGTTTTTTCAGACTACCCTCTGCAATCAATAAAATGATTGCACAAATAACCTATACAGATGAAAAGGAAATCAGAAGCACCCAGGTGAAAAACATGTCATATTGATCATAATAAAAACTAGTACCAGACCTTTGCTGCTTCCGTTGCAAGAACTAGTGAGGTCACTATAGTATCTTGGCTGTAGTTGTAGAAACAACAAAGGGGTCAGTACATTCAAAATGGTACTTGGTTCCCTTTCATAATAAATAGCTGTGCAAAGAATGCAATTTCACAAAAAACAGAAAACCTTGCATCTCAAAGCCATAAATGTGCATTGCTGAAAATTTTGGTATGAACTCATGCACTTTTCATGGGTTGGTTAAGGTATTACCAAAGAAAGGGAGCTATGTCCATCTGATTCATCTATACCATGGTCCATCCAGTTCATCTATACCATTGTCACATAGAGGAACCTATCTGCTTGATCTTAAACAAGAAAACTTATTACCCTATCCAATTTATCAAGCAAACATCAAGTCTCAACTGACTAGAACAGTATAATATCCTAACTAGAATAAACATCGATCAAATTTTTGTCTTTTTTTTTTGGAACGATGGAGGAGCTCTGCCTAATCAATTAAAAGGGAGCAAAGAAAAGGTATACACCACTGTTGCAAACCTGATAAACATTCAGGCGAGAGGTGTGGATAAACATCCAGGACCTGATGCTGAGAAAAGGAAGAAAAACGGAAACGCACAATAGGGATTCTTAAGGTGCTACAAAAAGGGCGCTTCTACATTGGTTAATGTCCTCCACGGTGCGGAATGCCACTTCATCCGCATCGAGTGATGAATGTTCAAAGATGTGTCTGTTTCTCTCTTTCCAAATATTCCACATGATGTAGATTATGACCCCATTGAGCTCATGACATGAAGGTTTTGGCGTGGCTTTGGAGGTTTCATGCCACCAACCGTCTGACGCCGGTATGTGAAGTCATCTGACGCGACATTCTGTGGGAGGTCCATGTAAGAATGGAGAGTACTCACACCCCAACGAAGTTTGAGAAGGGGCAGTTAAGGCAAAGGTGCAATGCCTTTTCTGGATCGGTGTGGCATACAGAACATGTAGGTTGGTGTGGCCAGCCCCTATTTACAAGGTTGTCTGCTGTGAGAATTTTATTTTGGACTAGCGTTCAAGCAAAGAATTTGTAATTGTTTTTGGTCTTGGCCTTCCACACAAGGTTGGGATCAAACGGCGAGAAGGAACCCTTGAATTGTGAAAGGTAGGCTGATTTTGAGGTGTCGGAGCCATCTCTTGTCCATCTCCAGCCAATGGTCTTGAGGTTGTTTGGCAGGAGTTGGACCTGCTGGACTTGTGACCAAAGATCAACAAATTCGGCGACATGGACCACCATAGAAATTTTGTGGCGGAGAATGCGAATCCACCTCCCACCTGAGAGTCCAATGGCGACAGAGTTGTTCTTGCGCCTAATCAGCTTGAACAAGGACGGTGCTATGTATTTGGGTGCACTTCGGTTGAGCCACTTGTCTTGCCAAAACGGGCTTTGTTATCATCTCCAATTGAAATGATGGCAGGCTTCAAAAGGCTGAAGGTCAGTGTCGTCGCAAGTAAGTTCAGAGCCCGCCCATGGTTTGGACTCTTCAGTCCAGTCTAACCAAAGCCACTGTAGGCGAAGTGCGCGGCTGAATTTTTCAAGGTCCAAGATGCTAAGTCCGCCCAAATTGAGGGGTGCATGCAACGTTTCCAAGCTACACGACATTGGCCGCCACTCGCATTCTCACACACCGTCCAAAGGAAGGAACCGCAGATCCTACCAAGCTGCTTTTTGGCCCATTTGGAGAGGAGAAAAACCATAAGCGTGTATCTTGGAATTCATGAGAGAACCGAGTTGATCAAAGTCAGTCGGCCTTTCCAGCTAGGTAGTCTTGCCCCGGTTTTGTCAATGATAGGCTGAAGATGTGCTTTGGTGAGTTTTTTTTAGGCTGAGATAACGGCAAGGGAAAGACAAGAGCTGCCCTAGAGAGTGTAAAATGATTTGGACGATGTCAACTCCCTCGCAGCTAATTGAGAGGATGGAGCTTTATTTTGTAGGAGCGTGGCCAGCCCAGAAGCCTGTCAAAAAGTGTCGAAGATGTGGCGAATGGTGTCCAATTCCGGCAGACTGGGTTGATGAAAATAACTGCATCGTCTGCGTATAGGGAAATGCGAAGATTGAGCTCTTGTGAGCCAATGGGAGTGGGCACAACTTGTTCTGAAGCTAGCTCAATCATGCGGTGAAGTGGATCAACTGCTAGGATAAAGAGCATCGGTGAGAGGGGGCTACCTTGTCAAATTCCCTTGCCATGTGTAAAGCGTTGGCTGGGGATGCCGTTGAGGAGGTCCCCTGAGGTTGCTGCTCCAAAAAAGAGAGAGATCCACTGCCGCCATTTTAGGACAAACCCGAGCCTTTGGAGAAGTTCAAGGAGATAACCCCAGTTAACTGAGTCAAAGGCCTTAGCGATGTCTAGCTTTAGGAAGAGGGCAGGGGTTTTACGCGTGTATAGGCAACGGATTGTGTTTTGGACAAATACAAAATTGTCTTGGATGCAATGTTTTTTATGAAGGCACATTGGTAGTTTGATATAATGCCACGGAGTTGTGGTGGTGGTGCCAATCTGTTTGCAAGAAGTTTGGAGAAGATTTTTGCAATGCTGTACATAAGGCTAATGCGCGGTAATCTCCCACATGTAGGGCGTCATTTTTTTCGGAAGGAGAACGATGTGTGCTGTATTAACTATCCTGAAGCTCCCAGGTCTCAGATTATGGAGGCAGCCAAAAGCTTCCGTGTCAAATCAAATGGATCCCAATTTCCCGTGAAGTTTTTTAGATAAATGTTAGCTGAAATGCTACTGCATAGGCTCCCACGCCTCCACAATGTGGATGTCTACAAGGAGGCAACTAGAATTCGCTCGTCCCGCGACTCCAAAATTGTACATGCCTTACTGAAAGGAAATCAAATGGTCTGAAAAAAAAGGAATCCGAGCACGAGCGTTCTAGGGTAGAAAAGCCGTCTACTGCTGCAAAATCAACTAGGGAAGGCGCTCTGGCTGGCACGTGCGAGGGATGGGTTTACCGGACAAAGCGCTTGGAGATGAGGGGCTGGACGCCGTACTGCAGGGTGAGGAGCGCCAGGTAGAGCGCCACCTTGCGCCGGCTCGGCGCCGCTGCTGCCGCTGCCGCGGCCGCCGGAGTGGACGAGGAGCCCATCCGGACTCCGGAGCGCTCGCTCGGTTCCGAATTCCGATCCAAGCAACCAAAATGCGCCCGGCGCCCGCTGTCCCTGTTTCGGGAACTTTTCCTTTCCTTGACCGAGCAGGGGAGCCCGCTTTACTCGCCAAAAAAATCCCGTGTTTCTGGTCTTGATTTGATTTGATTTTATGCTGAAACAGGGAGGGGACACAGGGAAACAGGACAGAGACTGGACGAGCACGCCGGCCTAAGTCGCTCCCACGTTTGCGCTTGCGCGGCTGGGGGCAAGGCTCGGTTGCATCGAAGGAATTGGCTCTCTTTTTTTTTTCGCGATCAACAGTTGCATAAGCGATCGTAAATTTTTTTAAGAATGGTTTTTTTCTCGCATCAAATCAAATTTAAATAATCCACGATACGATACGGCCTCCCGAACAGGCTGCAAATGGAAGGAATTGGCTCGCGCAAAGGGTTATCTGTAGAAATTTTGGAAAGGATTTCTCAACTGTTTTGAACATAGATATAAATACTCAAATATTAGTTGTACTCTCATCGTCCTTTTTTAAACTAAACTAATAAAATGTGTCCATGCGTTGTATCAATATATATTTTTTGTTGCATAGTCACCGGAACGATTTACGGCTTAGAGTTTTATTCAACAATCGTCGTCTGTTCCATCCAATACGCTCAAACTTCATACTATCGTTTGACGCGATCTAAAATTGGACTTCATATTATCACTAGACGCACATTGTTCTAACTCATATAAGCACATGTCATAAGTCCAGGTCATATAGGACAGGAAGCAATGTGAAAAACATCGTGGGAAATAAAGAAAACGGATGGAAGAATCTTTTCACTGTTTAATATTAGATATAGATATAGATATAGATATAGATATGCCAAAAGGTTAACTTGTCTCTCACTAATTAGTGAGTTTGGTTGTCAAATTGCTTAATCTCCTAACAACACATAGGTTAAAAATGCACTGTGCATGTTATTGATTTCAGGTACAAAATACAAGTCATTTGCGCAAGATGGTATTTGAAAGGCACACATGGATACGGTTTAAAAAGCAAGCACGAATAATATAGGGTTAAGTAATCCAGATTATATCTTATAATTTGGGATAGATTTTAAACATTCAATACATGTATCTTAGAATGGAGTACAATATTCATGACTCATTAGGTCCACAAAGCAATAGGACAATAACAGAAAGAGTTGGCCCCTAGCACCATGGAGGCTGAAGATAGTTCATGGCCATAGTCTCGCAATTAGCACGTATTAGGGTAAATCCAACCCTTAGGCAGATAAGTTTGACCGACCGACCATTGTTTAATCTCATGCTAGACATTTGGTCGGATAGACTTAGTCAAGGATCGTAGCTTTCATTTTCTCATTGGCTTGGTTTCCCACTAGGACAATAACAGAAAGAGTTGGCCCCTAGCACCATGGAGGCTGAAGATAGTTCATGGCCATAGTCTCGCAATTAGCACGTATTAGGGTAAATCCAACCCTTAGGCAGATAAGTTTGACCGACCGGCCATTGTTTAGTCTCATACCAAACATTTGGTAGGATAGACTTAGTCAAGGATCCTAGCTTTCATTTTCTCGTTGGCTTGGTTTCCCACTAAATACTTCCATAACTATTTACATACCAGAGAAGCCCAGAGAGGGTGTTCCTCTCTCCGTCAGTGTTGTTGGACGAGAAAGACATAGTGATTGTGTCTAAACCTTAAGGGTAGCTCCGAATATATAAGAGGAAAGAGTTGGCTAGCTCAGCAGATGTAGGTGATGATATAAATGCTCATTGTTAAAGTAATTGAATGTGATGATCGGTTGTTGGAGACCGGCGACAACAATAGCTATTGGTTTCTTTGCGGACGAAGGGCAGAGCCACATCCGTGGGCCCTCACCCACGGTGTATGTCGATGTGACATGGACAATGGCTTGGTGAGCATCGTTGCCAAAGTCCGAGAACGCTAGGATGGTATTGGGAAGGGCGCCACGATTAACAAGAGGAGTCGCTAGGTGTGCAACAAGAGGAGAGTAGGGAAGGTGTTGCCTTTTGGGAGAGGAGGGGGTCTACAAAGTGGTTGGACGGTCTTGGTTCCTCCACTGATCCTACTATGTCCTCTGTGTTGCCTCACTCATCACGTTGAATTTGGCATTAAAGCTCGGACGGTGAATGGAGGTTTGATGGCGATGAACAACATTAGGCAGTGGGAAGCTTTATAGAAGCATAGGGTCATGGTTTGGCATAAAAGCGCATGTCAAGGAGACAAATCGATGTACGGTGTTGGGACTTGATTGTGGTGGTAACGCCTAGTGCAAGGTGGGCGGGTGAACATGCAGCCTTTGAGGCGAACTCTATGTCATGTGCAGGTGGGCGCACAAGCGTAGGAGATATCTCTGGCAAAAATAGAAGATAATGGATAGGCTCGATGGAGCACCGTGGTGGCCAGCGTTGAGCATGAAGGACATTGATGCAATTGAGTTCTAGGACACGCAAGTCAGCAAAGTATGTAGAGATGCACCAACTGCTCAGGGATGGATCTAAAAGCATCTAGGCCCCTAGTTGGGTTTCGATGATTAATGACAATACATAATTATTATGATTAACGTGTGTTTTACAGAGGCAATTAAGTTAGGTCATGGTAATGGAGATCGATTGGGCAATCATGGTGGTCATGCCCCTACGATGGAAATTGTTTCGATTTTCAAAGGATAGACGATAAGGTTAAGGATGGACTAGTTCTAAGTGTCGATTGGAGTTGAAGAGACACTTAGAGTAGTTTAGGACTTTGTTTTTCCTTTGGCCATACTATTAAGGGGGGTATGGACGGGTAGCTTGACCTAGGTGAGTCTAGTGAGTTAGGTGTGGTGCACACTTGCTAAATCTAGCACTAGGTAGCTCCAAAATAGCCCTTAGATCCAATGGAGCAAACTTCATTCACGTATGATCGAGAGTTGGAAGTAAATGGAGGGTCAAATACTGACCGGACGCTGGTTCCAGTGTGACCGGACGCTGGCGCAGAGTCCGGTCAGTTCATTTGACCAAGGTGTTTTTGTCTGGCGCGACCGGACGCTGAGAGGTGAAGTGACCGGACACTGAGGGCCAGTGTCCGGTCGACTCTAGTAAGGTTCCAGAGAGGGAAAATCACGACCGGACGCGTCCGGTCACACTTTAAACACTGGAGTTCGGGGTGAACTGACCGGAGCGTCCGGTCACCCCGCAGAGGCATATAACGGTTCGTTTTTCAGCCGGTGTTATAAATACTTCCTCCATTCGTGTGTGGGGGTACTTTTGCTCATTCCAACAGCTGAGAAACACCTTTGAGAGTGCCAAGAAGAGCAAGATCCTAGTGAGGTGATTGAGATTTAAGAATCCCAAAGAGAGCCCTCATTAGTGAGATCAAGAGTAGCAAAGTATGCATCCACCTTTCTCATTAGGCTTGTCGTGGTCAAGTGAGAGTTCGTGCTTGTTACTCTTGGTGATCGCCATCACCTAGACGGCTTGGTGGTGATTGGAAGCTTGGTGATCATCCGGAGAGCTTGTGGATGACCCAACTCAAGTTGTGAGCGGTTGTGGGTGATTTACCGCGACGGAATGTCAAAGAATCAACCCGTAGAGAGCACTTGATCCTTGCGCGGATCAAGGGGGAGCTACACCCTTGCACGGGTGCTCCAACGAGGACTAGTGGCGACTCTCCGATATCTCGGCAAAACATCGTCGCGTTTCTCCTTCTCTCTTTACTTTGAGCATTTACTTTGAGCAATTCAATTCTTGTCATTTACATTCCTAGAATTGCCATCCTAGAGTAGGATTGGAACTTAGGTTGCAAAACTTTTGTGCGTTAGATCAATAGAAACACTTTCTAGGCACAATGGGTTAATTGGGCTAACCGTAGAGTTTAATTATTGTAAAGAAATTTAAAATTAGCCCAATTCACCCCTCGTCTTGGGCATCTTGATCCTTTTCAGGATCGTGGTGGAGATGATGAAGACAATTGAAATCGATCCAAAGCTAGCCAAACCCATGGTGCGCACCCAAAGATTCGCCACACAGGCGACTAGATCTACCACACCAAAGACCATTGGACCATTGACAGTGAAGACGACTAAATGTCTGAATGGAGAGATGAGCAGATCAAGTGGATGACGATGGTGTTGGGCGAACTCCACAAATATGGGAGTAAAGAACAAAAAAAAAGTTGCAACAACCATGAAATCAGCATTGCAAGATGGAATAGGAACGTAACAAAGGACAGAAAAAGCTACAACGACAATGAAGACATCATTGCAGATGGAATAGAAATTGCGATGCAACGACGATGAAACAACATTGCAAGATGGAATAGAAACTGCGACAACGTGTTGACGTGCTACAGCCATAATAAGAGGTACTAAGAACCTATTTGGTATGGCTCCGAGATGCTTCGGCTCCTACACTGTTCATGCACTGTAGCATGTCAGAACCGGAGCCGGAGGAGCCAGAAATTCAAACTTCACTAGCTCCGTGAACAGTACCCCCGCTACAGTGAGAGGGAAATGGTGGGGAGAGAGAAACAGCTCTGATGCTACAGTGTTCGTCGTAGGGGTGTCAGCCGGAGCCGAAGCTGCCGGGAGCCCGGCCAAACAAGTCCTAAACTACCTAACAACACTGAATCTGAAAGGTGGGACCCTCTCTCTTGTCTCCAGCAAGCACACTGTCCATCGAGAACGAGAGGGAACGAATACATTAGGTCTAGATATATAGTACTAAAAACTATGTATTTAAAGAAGTCAAAACAACTTAGGGCGTGTTTAGATGATGCGGTTTTTGAAAATTATAGTATCACAAAACTGTGGTTTTATAAGCAAAAGAGACGTAAAACCGTGGTTTAGAAAAAAGAGTTTATGATTTTAAAACTCCTAAAAGACTACAGTTCTAACAAACCATGGTTTTGGAGACTACAAAGGCCCCGTTAGCTTAGCTGAAAAAAACAAGCCAAAATACTGTTTCAATTGATTTGTTGTGAGAGAGAAAAACACGGTTCGGTTAAAAAAACAAGCTGAAAATACGGATTATAAGACAAGCGAACATGACCAAAATTTGTTGCATCCAAACACCCGGTGGCTTTTAAAAACTAAAATATTTTGTAAAACCATAGTATTTCTCTAGTACTTTAAAAATACTTTGCATCCCATCATAGCCTTGGAGTTTGGAATGGAAGAAGTAGAAGTTATTGGATCCCTCTATAAGACAATTAGCAGACTAACTTTTCACATAAAACTAAGGCACAATGTGAGGAAATGCGGTCCTATTGTCAAGTTAGAATCATGAAAAAAAATGGTATACTGACCTGCCGACTAATCCTGTACAAGAACTGCACCTAAGAACAAACTAAACTTTTATGTTTTCTCCCACGTTCTTCCGCATTAAAAAAAAACTTTCTTGTTGAAAATGTAAATCTACCCTATCCGACCCAAGTATACGGAAAGCAAATCGCATGTATATGAAGACTAACGTATCAGGTGCAAACCAATTAACATGTGCAAACTTAAAAACTATCAATCAGACCCACTATCCAATGAATATGATGAGAGGTGAGATTTTTTTGCGCTTAAGCTCCCCACCCGCCGTCTTTTTTTTTTTTTTTGCGCTTAAGCCCCCTCACCCTATCCATTGGATCAGCATCCAGTGGTCCTGATTGGTAGTTTTAAGTTTACACATGTTGGTTGGTTTGCACGGTTTGCGTGATAAACCACCCTGAATGTCATGTCCACGGTCACACTCCGTCGGAGGAGTCCGTCTTCTCATCTCCGTTCCCACCAATGCGCTCGTAGAACAAGATGTAGCCATGATCCGTGTTGCCCGAATATTCACGAGAAGAGCCATAGAACGTCTGTAGGGTGGACTCCGGGATCATCTCGACGTTGTCATCATCGAAGGACAGCCAATGGTCATGGCTCTTGATCTTGGCTACGTAGTGCCCCTGGTTGGGGCCGCTACCCAGGTGGACCACCACGGCAAAGAGGGAGTACTCACAGTCAGCAACGGCATCACTGGAGCTGCTGCTGAGCTTAAGCTCCAAGGGGTACACCACTCGGTACGACAGCTTCTTGTTCCGGTTAAGCTGCTCGATGAACTTGAAGCGCTTTAGGTGGATCACCAATGTTTGTGGCACCTTTTTTATCTTCATTCTCTTCTCTGCTTCTTGCAAGCTGCATGATGAGAAACCAAGATTTCGAGTTCAGTACATGGCACAGGGAAATCAAGCTAAGTAGTTCCTACCCATGGTGATTCTGAATGCATATTTCCACCTCACTTATAAGTGCAAGGTTAGCATCCCAGTTGAAACTGGACAATCAGATATTCAGATTTCCTAACGAAAGATGGATGCACAAACTTAGAATCACTTGTATATCAATGTGACCATTACATGTATTCTGTTGTGATCTCGACAGGACAAGTTTCTCAATATTGTATAAAAAGTGCAGGAAAAAAATGTAGAATAGCAGAAATTGCCAGATTACAAGGGATTGGCCTGTAATGCTTCCCTTCCAAGGAAGGGAGTAGTTGCTTGGATGTTAGATTTGTTTTATAATTATCTGGATTTAAGTACTTGATGAACTTAGGGTGTGTTTGATTTGAGGAATCAAACCATTCTAGATGAGGTGGTGCGTCATGAGTCAATTCCTCAAATTTGGTGGAATGACTTCATTCCTCACACTAGTACTAATTATTAACTTGTGAGGAATGAGGTGATGATGCATCAACCCATTTCATTCCACAAACCAAAACAAAAAAGGGAGTGAGAAGATGATGGACTAACCCATTCCTCAAACCAAACAACCTATTAATGAACAGAACAAGGATTGAAAATATTGACATGCCAATGAACCAGGGATTACATATTATCACAAGTTCACAACAAAGAGACAAAACCATTAGGAGACCAAAATGGCATCTAGCTTTGTTACCTGCAGCACTTGTCACAGAAGAACTTGTCATCCGCATTTAAAGTCTCGGTAGAAAAGAAATTCTTCAGGCAGCTTGTGAGTGAACTATTCTGTTCAATGTCAACGCTCAAGTCAAAAAATGTCTCATCCTTTGCGGTGATTGTCTCACACATTAGGCATCTGGTTTCATTAGTCAAAGTACCCTGCAAAGGTAAAGGGTAACTGTGCATGAAATCCTTGTAACAAAAAGTGAGTGTATGTGTGAAACTTGGCATCTTTTACAGTAAAGAAGAATGGCACCAGATTCAACTCAAACCTGGCTAGTCAGTTTAAAGCCACCTTTTTCTAATTGAGTTAGGTTCCAATCCTTGTAAGAGTTACCTGAAAATTCTTATGTACCCATGTAACCAGTGGTTCTTTTCTAACTCCATCAACAGCTGCCCCATTTGAGACCATTTCAGGAGATGTAGTCCCAGGAGAATCCTTTGCAGAACTAGACTCTTTCTCCAGAATATCAACAATTTCATTCAGTAAGAAATTCAAAAACTCATGGGCATCCTACAGAATAGAACAGAAAAGCTGCGTTACTTCTGGAAGGTTTACTCTTTTATCTCATCAAAAGATCTGAAGAAAAGAGAATGTTTAGCCGTACAGTGAATTGGATCAAAGGCGAGAATTTTCTGTAAAGAACCATGTAGTACCATGCAACAAAAGTAAAGCAGGTCACAATAATAGCTAGGGCCTGAGCTTGCATTACTGAATCATACTCCCTCTATTCCCAATTATAGGTCGTTTTGGCTTTTCTAGATACATAATTTTTTAATATGTATATATCTAGGAGCAACCTATAATTTGGGACCGAGTAAGTACTAAATAAAACCTTAAGGCACGAATAAGCAAATCAGCTTGAGCTTATGATGTGCTAATGTGATTGACCTGACGTGGGCCACTGTTAAACATCTGGAAGTTACCTGATGCATGTAGCCGCGAAAATATTCATTTAGTTTCCTAACCATTTGAATAAAACGTTTTGGAGCGATAACACCAGTCTTTTTCTTTGATGCACTTATCTGCAAAAAATATCAACCATTATTACTAGAAAAAAAATTGCAGAAACTTTTCATGTTACATAGGCAAAATCATGCAGTACCGATCTGTACAATCATGCTCATGGATGCTTATGCTCTTGCTTTAGTTTTATTTGCAACATTACAATGTACAAAGGTCCAGGTGTTCTTTCTTTCTTCAAAGAACGCACACGAGAGCCACATGTCATTTGGTTGCAAAATATTCAGGTGCTCTAAACTAATCACTTATAACTAATATACAAATGCAGCTTCAAGTGAGCTATTAAATAAGTTGAGTGAAGCAATACAGAATTGCCAACAAGCAATGCACAAAGTCAAGATCATGCAAACAACTAGTGTATACTAACCAATTTGTACACTCTAAACTGTATGCAAGTAGTGTCAATCATTTCTTGGAAATAGCAAGAAATCACAAATGGTTTGACACTTATGGCTTGCAAAATATTACACCACAATGCATGAATAACAGCAATGTACTGCAAAGAACATTTTCTAGGTCCAAAGAAGAAAGAAGATTATCCACTTATCCAGAACCATTCTTTATAGAAATTCATTTCATAAAGCAACGCTGCAACAGTACAACAAAGTAGTATCAATTAAATGGCAGATTATATTTCTTCACCTGTGAAAAAAGATCTGCTAGGCAGGTCAACAAATTTTCTTCAGCATCTTCGAGATTTCTGTTTTTGCTATAGTATTCCAGCAACTGCTCCCGGAATGGAGCACAATAATACAGTGCCTGAAAAAGGTATAACTTTTTAATCCCCATCAGTTATGCACCCGAAAATGTAGCACAAAGTCAGAATGAATGTGTAGTACCTAGAAATTAAAACAAAATGGCGAAACAATTGTATGAATACTAATGCTTTGGGAAAAAAAATTAGATAAATTTTCTTTCGGTACAACTTTCTTAGTTTCATGAGCTAATCCTGCTCAGAAAATAGTGAAGGCGATATCACGGTCTGCACAAAGTTAACAAGAGAAGGCCTGCATGCTGCCAAATAGCCAATACATGAACAGTCAACCATCGCTTTGCTGCATCATAATAATTTGCTTCTTCAAACTGTATTCAGATGATGCCATTTTTCCTTCGGTTAAAACATCAGATAGCACCAATTGTATTCCTGAATATGCTTAATTTCCACTATATTTGGGAATAACACTAATCCACAAAAAGTAACATCTAACAGGCATGCGATCTGATAAATAAAAAGCTGCCTGTGCCATTTCAAAACATGAGGAAGAAGACTTGAGGTGTTAATTCATTGATCAATGTTAGCCCACTGGATCTCCGGCACGGGTGAGCGTTGCCGACCACAACTATCGTTGTCCGACCACACACTATGGCTAGAGGTAGAAGAAGAGAGAGAGAACAGAGCGCACACACACAGCACAAGCACCAGCGTTGGCCGTAGCTCTGCAGAGGAGATGCCAAACTGAACTCGCTCTCTTTACTGAGTTGCACTGGCAAACTATATATACAACTCTACCCATCTAATCCTATTACACAGACATGTCAGGCTGCCATTTTGCTACAGTGACTAAATGTGACAGCAGGGCTGACTTTGGCGCCTGCCCTTGCTGTGGCTACAGTGCGGCAGGAGAGCCATTCGGCGCCTGCCCCTACAGCTGTTACAGTGCAACGGCAAGGAGCCCTTTTCGGCGCCGCCTGTCTCTGCCGTGCGTTCACACAAGGGGAGCAGCGGATTACTTAACAATTCTCCCCCTAATCCTGCCGCTAACCCTTGAACCCCCTCCATGCCGATCATCTTCTTCAGCTCCGTGAGCCGAAGACGGCCGAGCGGCTTGGTGAGGACGTCCACGAGTTGCCGACCAGTTTTGACGAACTCGATGATGATCTGCCCTCCATCGATACAGTCCCTGAGGAAGTGGAACTTGACGTCGATGTGCTTGCTCCGGTCGTGGAGAACCGGATTCTTCGCGAGGGCGAGGGCGGACTGGTTGTCCACCATCAGTGCTGGTGGGTGAGCTTCCACACCGGTCAGCTTGCCCAGCAGCCAGCGTAGCCACACAGCTTGGCACGCCGATGTGGCCGCCGCCACGTACTTTGCCTCGCACGTGGACAGCGCCACCACCTTCTATTTCAGCGACAGCCATAAGATTGGGGCCGACCCGAGGAAAACGAGCACGCCAAAGGTGCTCTGTCGTCTGTCGATGTCCCCCGCCATGTCTGCATCGCTGAACACAGTGAACTGCAGCCTACTTTCGCCGGTCTTGGGGAAGACGATCCCATGATCCACCGTCCCCTTGACGTAGCGCAGCAGCCGCTTCACCGCAACCCACTGATCCTCTCTGGGATCCTCCATGAAGCGGCTGACGTAGCCCACGGCGAACGCAATGTCCGGCCTCGTGTGGACTAGATAGCGCAGTCCGCCGACGATACTCCGGTAGAGTGTTGCATCTACCTTCGCCGTGGTACTGGCCTTCGTCAGCTTCAGCCGCTCCTCCATCGGAGTCACGCACGGCTTGCACTCAGCCATGCCGCTCCGCTCCAACAGCTTCGAGGCGTACACGCTCTGACCGAGCGTGAGCGCCTCCTTCCCCTGTCTCACCTCGATGCCGAGGTAGTAGGAGAGCGCAGCGAAATCGCTCATTCGAAAACGAGCCGCCATCTCGCGCTTGAAGCTGTTGATGTCCTCCGCACGCGCGCCGATGACGATCAAGTCGTCCACATATACGCCGCCGACGAGCTCCTCCTTCCCCGTCGCCGCGTGTAGAGCGCGTGCTCGATTGCGCACCTCGTGAACCCAAGCTCGCCCAGCGTGGCGTCAAGCATGGCGTTCCACGCTCGTGGGGCCTACCACAGCCCGTAGAGTGCCTTGCGCAGTTGGAGCACCGTCGTGGAAGGCATCCACGAACTCAGTGATGTCACTTGGAGGTGAGACGAACTCGATCGGCGTCGATGGAATTCCCTGTTCCGCCGAAGTGGTCGGCACCGCGGCTGCAGTGCTCGGCAGTACTCCTGGACCGCTCGTCATCACTCCTGGAGTGGTCGGCACCACTGCAGGAGTGCTCAGCCCCAGTCTTGGAGTGGTCGGCACCACTGCAAGACTTCTCGGCTCCGCTACGGGAGTGTTCGGCACCCGTCCTGGAGTGATCTGCACCACTGCAGGACCGCTTGGCACCACTCCTGGAGTGCTCGGCACCCCTCCCGAAGTGCTCAGCCCCGCCCCAGGAGTGCTCAGCTCTGTCGCTGGAGTGGTCGGCACCTCCTCTCCAACGTCTCCACCACCGTGGATGACCAAGTGCTCAACAACGAAGGTGCTGGTGAAGCCGCCAGCTTCCCCTGTGCCCGGACTGTTCTAGTCCCAGGCCGCCTTCTTGTCGAACACGACGTCGCGCGAGACAAGCACCTTGTCTCCGCGTGGGTCGTAGAGCTAGTACGCCTTGGTACTTTTCGCGTAGCCCAGGAGCATCATCGGTGTGCTCCTGTCCTCCAGCTTGGTGAGGACCGGCTTCGTCTTCCTGACGTGGCCGATGCAGTCGAATGTCCGGAGGAAGGATACGCTCAGCTTGCGTCCATGCCAAGCCTCGAACGGCGTTTTGCCCTTTAGGGCTTTGGTGGACGCGCGGTTTAGGATGAACACCGCCGTGGTCATCGCCTCACCCTAGAACCTTGCCGGCATGCCCTTGGCCTTCATCATGGATCGAGCCATGCCGACCACCGTCTGGTTCCGTCGCTCCACCACGCCATTCTGCTGTGGCGAGTACGGCGCGGTATGGTGTCGTACCACACCCTGATACGCGTAGTACGCGGCGAACTCCACCGAAGTGAATTCGCTGCCCTGATCAGTCTGCATCACGCGCAGCTTCTTGCCGCTCTCCGCCTCCGCGCGCGCTTTGAACTTCTTGATCGTCGCCGCCGCCTCGTCCTTGCTCGTCAGGAGTTGCAGCCACATAATAGCGACTGCAATCATCCACGAGTTGGAGAAAGTACCGCCGACCAGTGTTTGTGGCTGGCGTGATTGGCCCGTAGAGGTCGCCGTGGACGAGCTCGAGAGCATCCACCGCGCGATACTTGGCCGCCTTTGGAAACGGCAGCCTCCTCTTGCTTCCGGCAAGGCAGCTATCACATAGCTCGCCTCCGTGCTTGATGTAGGGCAGCCCTCGGACCATCTTCTCTAGCCGACCGAGCGTGTCGAAGCTGAGATGGCCGAACCGGGCATGCCACAGCCATGGTTCCTCGGTGTGCCGTGCTGCCAGGTACACCGGCTGCTCTAAAGTCGTGCAGGTACAGCCGGCTCCGGGACCTCTTCACCTTGGCAAGAAGGCGCTGCTCCTGATCCCTGATCCTGAGGACACCGTCCTTATCAGTACCTCGCTACCGCGCTCATCCAGCTGGCCAATGCTGATGATGCTTGAACGCAGCTGCATGATGTAGTATACATCCGTTAGCGCACGGTACTCGCCGTTCTGACACCTGAAGATGATGGTGCCGCGCCCTCGGATTACCGCCCTTGGAGCCCGTCATGTGGTTGCTGGCGTCGGAGTCCAGGTACCACCGCTGCTCCTGTCTGCCGCCCACACGTCCGAGGTGGACTTGGACGCGCGGTTCGGCGAGGTGGATAGCCTTCAGAGCCTTGCTAGGCCCTTCCACCGCCATCACCTCTCCCTTCTCCTTGGCTTCAACGTCGTGCAGTATACAGAACGTCGTCATCAGGAGAGTGGCCTCATCATCTTCAGCCTTCGCCAGATGAGCCTCAGCCTTCTTCTCCTACTTACGATTTCGGCACTCCTTTGCCCAATGGTCCGTCTTCCCGCAACGCCGGCAGGTGTTGGGGTCGACCTTCTTCTTCTTCTCCGAAGAAGCCTTGCCGCTGCGCTTGCCATCGCCACCGCGGCTGGAGCAGGCTTCCCCGGAGTTCCTCCGGGCAGCCCACTCCTCTACTGTCCGCAGCAGCTTGCCGCTATCCTTCGTTGCTGTGGCCTGCTCCATGCGCTCGTCCACCGCCCGCAGACGGCCTGTCACATCCTAAATGGTGAGGGTGGGCAAGTCCAGCATCGTCTCTATAGAGAGAGCGATCTGGATGTACTTCACCGGCACGGAGTGGAGGTACTTGGAGACCGCATCTTCTTCGTCGATGGTGACGCCATGGCTCCTCAGCTTGCTGATGAGCATCTGCTGGCGGAGGAAGAAGTCCTCCACCGATTCACCATCCTTGAACTTGAGGTTGGCGTACTCCTGCTTCAGAAGTCCTCCTTTGTGCGGCCGGAACCAACGCGCATTACCGCAATGGCCTCCCACGCCTCCTTAGTAGAGCTCTTTGCCCCCAACGGCTCCCTGTACTCCGCTGGCACAGCAGCGAGGATAGCCTCCAACGCTGACATGTCGTCTTTTTCGTTGTCGGTGCCCTTGTCAACAACATTCCAGAGCCGTCGAGCTCTGAGCTTGACCTTCATGGTCACCGACCACTCGCCATAGTTGGTACGAGTCAGCGTCGGTCAACTGGTGCCGTTGACCTCCCGCACCGTGCGCACAACGACCTCCTGTCGTGGCTGGACAGCCACAGCAGCACCACTGCTGTCGCCCATCTCCAAACCGTGTGTCATCGCCAGCGGTTAGTCCAACAACGGCGATTGTACGGCTCTGATACCACTTGTTAGCCCACTGAATCTCCAGCACGGGTGAGTCGACCACTCACCGGCGTTGCCGACCACAACTATCGTTATCCGACCACACACTATGGCTAGAGATAGAAGAAGGGAGAGAGAACAGAGCACACACACAGCACAAACACCAGCGTTGGCCGGAGCTCTGCAGAGAAGATGGTAAAATGAACTCGCTCTCTTTACTGAGTTGCAGTGGCAAACTATATATACAATTCTACTCATCTAATCCTAATATACAGACATGTCAGGCTGCATGTTGCTGCTACAATGATTGGATGTGACAAATAGGTGACTTTGACTTTGCCCTCGCTGTGGTGGCTCTGAGTCTGACAGAAGAGTCATTCATTGCTTTGCCCCCCTGCCGGTACTGCATGAAGGCAACAAAGAGGAGCCCTTTTCGACGCCGCCTATACCTGCCGTGCATTCACACGAGGGGAGCAGCAGATTGCTTAACAATCAATACTTCATCCGTCTCTAAATAACTGTCGCCGTTGGTGTGCATGCCACAAGTTTGACTCTTGAAATAAATTTATTAAAAAACTAGATTCAAAGATCTTTCCAATAATACTTATTATATACCATAAATATTAATATTTTTTAATATATATTCAGTCAAAATTGTTTCTTGGGAAGCAAAAACGATAGATATTTAAAGACAGAGGGAGTATGTCAGCAATATGTATGATAATGTGGAGGACCACAAAAATGAATTGCAGCATTCTTCGACTTTGATTTTTTTGGAAGGTAGGTCAAAAACAACAATCACTTGCAAATTTAAAGGAATACCTTTTAGTCACATCTAAAACTTCAGAAGCATAACTAAGTTTGGCACCTATGATACCAAAATGCACTGGATTTGCTGTATATTTGCATCAAATTGCAGTAGCTCTTAATGCATACGGCCTACCCATGGTTCATCCATAAAGTAACTAAGCAGGGCCTAGTTGCAGCATATACATTAGTCAATAGTAAGCATCAACATTACTAGTTTCCTAAATGAAGCATCCCAAACTTCTATAACATTTTAGTTTGTCCTCCCGTCTTCACACCTCATCAGTTCCAAATTCCATGGTTCCATGATACCATGGGATGAGAGCAATGTTGTGAAAGAAACGATGCATTCGTGAATGAATGAGGATCTAAACTGTTGTCTATTGAGATAAAGGCCATGAAACTGATGAGGATGACAATGACCAAATGTAACGCCAAAAATATAGCTGTTGTGAAACGCCCCTGTACATATATATTCATGACCATCATATAAGAAACCACCAACCAGATTAAGCACAGAATGCTGAATACGACAACACATGTCAATCACGCCATAATCCTGTTATCTGCAATCCTATTATTTCTACAACTAAAACATTCATAACTATTCCGTCCATAGGTGCGACACCAAAGCCGCTCCATGCGATTAGATCAGGAAGGCAACGCGCACTCGCTCCATGCGATCAGCTCAATTCCCATAACAGCCGCAACAAATCAGGAAGGCAAAAATCAATTCCCGTAACAATCGTGATCAATTCCGCGATCACCCCACGCCGCCAATCACGCGAGACCGCGCCGTCACCTGCACCGTGACCTCCCTGGCACTCTGCTGTCGCACGGCACTGCGTCCTCACCTCCTTGTGCCTGGCCCTTGCGCCACCTTCGCCATCGCACACGCTGTCCGCCGATCAACGCCATCGTTCAATCACGCCCTGTCCACGTCCTGCCCCGTACCGGCCCCGTCTGACGCCTCGTCTTGTCCCCGTCGCCTCGCCGCCCTGCCCGCTGACGCTGGCGTACCCTGTCACGACGCCGAGCTAGCGACGAGCACCCACCAGGTACGTCACCAGGACCCTACATCCCCATTTGTCTTCCCTTCCAGCTATGCGAAACGGAACACCCAAACCCAAATTCTAACAGCAGCACGTGGGCGAAGACGACCACGGCTAATCCTAGCAGAAGCACACGGACGACGACAACCAGCGGAGCAGTCGCCGAATCGCCCCGCTCAAGTCTTGTGGCGCCGCGCCCTCCCCACTGACGCTGCTGCTTTGCGCCGCCGCGGGCTCAGGTCTCCACCGCCGCTGACACATGTCAGGCACGCGAAATCAGGACGTCGCTCCGATGTCCGTTGCAACAGATCGCTGATCTCGCCACCTGCAGTCCACGGAGCCTACAATAGATCGGTGATCATGGCGAGCGGTCGAGCTCCTTAGCGTGAACCACCAGCCCACCACTACCAGCTGAGCAGCACAAGCATCACGCCCGCGAACTCCTGCGCCGCACCGCCATTGCCAGGCATGAGCTCGCTCCGGGGAACAACCAGTCCTGGCCTTGCTCCTCCGCCCTTGGTAAGCCGCAGGTGAGCTTCCCCGCACCCCTGCGCTCCTTCTCCACGCACGCGCGCGCAAGGCACACTGCGCAACCGCAAGCTCGCGTTGCTGGGAAATGGTCGCCGAGCACCGGTCGTGCTCTGTTCCGTGCTCTGCTTTGCACGAGCTTTCCTAGCTTGTTAGCTTGATGACATCAGGATGACATGTCCACACTTTCTTGCCGTTTTCCTTCAGAAGAATAAAAGAGGACATACATTGGAAATACAAGGACCCATACCCTTCAGCATGGACTCGGTCCATGGTGGACCGCTCACACACCACACCGCCGATCCATGGTTCATGGACCTGTCAGTGTTTTGTTTTTTATGTGGACATTCTCATAAACATCCTGTTAGTTGTTGACAAATTTCTGATGATGTTTATGAAACTAGAATAGTCTTCCTTTGCATGATCGGTTATCGAGACCATAATGTTTATAATTACATTTTTCATTACACCATGGTCAACTACTCAACTGGAAGCTAAATGTGCTTCTTTTCTTTTTTTCTATCTCTGCAATATGGCAATGCTTTAGATTTAGTGCATTTTGGATAGTTTAGAGTGAGCTCATTTGTTTGAACAAGAACATATGCTTCAGCTGCAAGAAGTCAGACGCCGCATCTTGAACTAGAAAATCTTCTGGATCATCACTGATTGGTGACCAACTGCAGCTTGGTATTCGTGCAAAGCACGTTCTCTTAATCGAACTATTGAGGGATTAGATTCTTAATTGTAGAATAGATTCTAAAACATGTATTGTGAAACACAAACTTGTTATGATTATCTTTCCGTAGCACTTGATTCCTAAAGAATTGCAAGCTTATCTTTCGCGTATCGTAGGCATAAAATCATGCGACAATTGAAGTTGATGTTTTAATTTTACATTCAAATTTAGAGTTATATTTTAACTATCTATCTTTCGTGAAGACTTATGTAACATTGATTGGAACATTATGATTGCGGTATCTATTTTAGATAACAGTATAACACACGCTCATACATATGTTATCATGGTACTATGTGTTCATGGATAATATAATAAACACAAAAATATTGATTGGCGTCGCCGGTGCTGGTCTGCCCGCATGCACCTAAACGAATTCAATTCCACTTACTGGTCCCCTACATGCCACACTGCACCAAACTTTGGACAAACAGAATGGTACACCTACCTCATCAAAAGCTAAAAAGAGGCCAGCACCCAAACGGTTCATAAAACAACTACCTAACCAAAGTTTCACCGAAATTCCAACCATAACAATAACGAAAACTAAACGGATTGCGACGGAGCACGCAGTGAACGAGTCAACACGCCGACTAGCGCCTCCCCTCCCCTCCTATGTGGGGGATCAGTAGCCACATCACCTGGAGGACGCTGTTGCAGTAGCAGGTGTTGCCGAAGTTCTCGAGCCCGAAGTAGCGCTCGCCCTCGGGGAACTTGTCGCCGAAGGCCCTCTCGAGCTTGGAGAGGCCGGAATCCATGACCGCCCACCGGTCCCACCACCCGGAGGCGGCGCTGGCGAGGGACCGGAGCCCCGACCCGGGCGCGGAGCGGTGCCTCTCCGCTGCCGCCGCCGGCGGGGAGGCCGTTGGCGATCGCGCCAGCTTCGCCATGCTAGGGTTCCGCTGGCTTGGCCACGGCCGTGGAGATGGCGGTGGAGGAGTAGCGCGGGAGGCTGACTAGGCGAAAGCCCGACGGGTCGAAGAGATCGAGGTGGAGGGTGGGAAGGACCGAAGGTGACTGCTTGAGGATGTCACTGCCGTGTCGCGAACTCGCGATGTCGCCCCCCCTCCCCCCGCTTGCTTCTGCGTGTGTATCTCTAGCGTGGCTCATTTAAGGCTTGTTTGACTTGCAGATTGTGGTACCTCCTCTCTCTCTATCTTATCTCAAAAAGTAGAATTTGGCTCGACTCATAAATTTAAGCGGTAGTGTCATCTTGGTCTTTGAATTTTCAAAGTGATATACGTGGTTTTTAAACTTGGCTAACAATATCATTCCAATCCATAAATTTCAAGGGAATCACGGTGGATTCTTAAACTTTGACTAGTTGTGTCATTTTTTTACCATAAACTTAGTTTTTGTCTAAACCGAGCCTAACCCACTCTATACGCAGACATGGCATGCTGACTATGAGTTAGACCTGGGCTCCACATTTGGACATATATCTATATTTTAATTTTTTTGGAGGAGTTAAATTCGGTCCCTAAGCTTTGACGGCAGTGTCATCACGATCCACGAACCGACACATATGTCTCACATGACAAAGATGATGAATAGATATTAGAGAGGAGAGGTGGACCCTACACGTTGGGTCCACGTCTAACACACAGTCAACGTGCCACGTCAGCATATAGAGTGGATTAGGCCTTGTTTGGACTTAGATGAGATTCAAAACCAAGTTTAGAGTCTGAAATGACACCATTGGCCAAGTTTAGAGACTGATGGTGATCACTTTGAAAGTCTATGGACTGGGATGACACAATTACAGATATCACTATGAAAATTGGGGGACCAAGATGACAACACCGGCCAAATTTAAGGACCGACAATGAATTTTACTCTATCTTAAACTATCTCTCATGCTTTTCATAATAAAGGTGCCCAGGATGAGGTTGGTGGGGTTAAAAATTGAACATACTCCCTTCGTCCCTAAATATATGTCGTTTTCGTTTTTCGAGAAACAACTTTGACTAAATATATATTAAAAATATTAATATTTATGATACACAATTAGTATTATTGGAAAGATCTTTGAATCTAATTTTTTAATAAATTTATTTGGAGATACAAATGTTACACGTATTTTCTATAAATCGAGTTAAACTTATGGCACGCACACTAACGGCGACAATTATTTAGGGACGGAGGGAGTATAATAGAGGTCATAGAGTTAGATAAAAAATATGCAAGAGAATTATATATCTTTATATTATCAAGCTAAACTGAGACAGTTTACATGACTCGACTGAAAACCAGAGTTAAATTGTCAACTAGTTGAGCTGCTGTGGAAAAGGTTTATATGTTATTTCTTAAATGATGTAGCAAAATCAATATAAATAAAGAGAAAACATTGAAAACTGAAATTATGTAGGTTTTTTTTTGAGGGAATGAAATTATGTAGTTGATTGAAATGCAGAAAAGGATAGAGCTCTATTATAAGTGTGTGTGTATGTGTGTGTGTGTATATATATATATATATATATATATTAGGGAGAGCTCTATTATATGCTGACGTGGCATGCCTGCATACAGTAAGAACAATAACAGGTTTGTTTGGGTCAAATTACAAATGGCACTTGGAATCAATAAACAATAACAGTCGGATCTTAAGAAGGTGGAAAACTTCAAAGCTGAAAAGGGGGAAAGGTCTGCATTTTGACTTTTAGCAGCCATCTGAAATAGCTAGCCGCTGCTGCGTACTTAGAATGTAGTCTTGTTCTCTAAATTTTCTTTCAAATATAATATGCTTACTTTTGGGCAAGACTAGTAGGTAGTGATTCCTCACACTTCGCCGAGACGATGGACGCATGTAAAATCGTTACACAACAAAGATCCAACAATATTTATAGGAGAAAGCTTATATATTAGCTCTGTCAACAAAAGAACTCCGATTCCTAATCTCTGACAAAAGGCATTAATAAATCCCCATAAAGCAAAAATATCTTAGTTTTGTGAACTGTGACAGCCATGAGTAAGTGTGTTGATGTGGACATTACTTATTGGTTATCAAATCGAACAAGCCAGCGAAGTTTGAAGTCTCAAAGTCCCCTGTCTATGTGCTCAGCAACAGAAACTAAAGAAACTTCAGGGACACTGTCTTACTGTCATTCTTTACCCTCAGCTAGTCGTCAGTCATGTGCAGAGTTTACCAAGTCCCTCTTATTGAGAGAAGAATGCATGATACTCTGCTGAAGCTAAAACAAGGGATTCGCATATTTTAGTGCTTATAGGCACTAGAAAATCACTTGTTTCATGTGGATTGGAGTGCTCGGCTGCACTTTAGCGTACACTGTACGATGGCTGCCCTGCATCAGCTGTGAGAGTGATATCATGTAGGATGGCTGTTGAGGATGGCCGTCAAGTATTCTTGCCATAATTTTAGGGAAAACGTCGTCGGTAGTCCACATCAAAGAGTACACACTCCACTTATATGATTATTCAATGAATGCTCAAACTCTTCTAAATGGAGTATCAATCAAGAGATAACAAGATGGATGAGAGTAGAACTGTACGACTTGACTGGTGTTAAGAAGACGACCTTTGTTACAGGTACCCGTGGTACCTCTCTGGTACTTAATTTCCCTTTGAATTTTGCTGACCGTTCATTTGTGTTAGGCTTTTTTCAAATAAAGAAAAACAACTGCTCCAGTACTCCTCTTCCTAAAAAGTACACGGATCTTAAAGCTGCCCATTTAATTAATTTTTTTAAGAATTATTTTTCACTTGGTCCCGCATGGGCTATCACGTCGAAGCCCAAACCTTGTCCAGCCCAGATTCATTACGAACTCAGGGCCTATTTGGAATATATGAATTTTGCAGGAGTCATGCGAGAAATTTATAAGAATCAATTTAATTTCACAAGAAAAATACAAAAACAGAAAATATTTCTCTCGTTCCAAATAGGCCCTCGGCTCTCCCTACGTTCCTTTGTTTGGTGTCTATCCATTTGGGGCCTGTTTGGAATGCGGGATTTTTTTTCCTATTCCTACGTATTTTCTGTGAAATTGAACTGATTCCTATGAAATTCTCGTGAAATTTCTACGTTCCAAACAGGCTTGGGTGTCCATGAGGTCCGTCGGGAGCGCGCCACTGCCTCCGCCGTACTAGTACCGATCATGATCACTGGTAGGCGATCGTTTGGCCTGCTTCGTTTCGTTTTCCTGAGCCGGCGCACACCATGCCCCGTCGCGAAAGCCAGGAGGTCGTGCAGTGCGCTCGACATCACGGCGTCACCGGCTCACCACGTGCAAATCTATTTTTTTAGATAAAGGATAAAATATCCGGCTTCATCTATCCAAGGATAGAATCAGACCAATTATTACAGACTTCAAACCTGGGCACAAAGTTCGACTGAAGTAAAACTTACAATCACATACACGACTAACGGAACAAGTAAAAAGTTTTTGATTAAACAAAGCCAACATACCTTTGTGAAAGCCAACCATTTGATCCAAAGAAATCTAAAGCCGACGTCTCTAGGTGTTGTGCCACAGAGATCATTTGATCTTTAAGATCTTCATGCCGCTGTAAGTTTGTCCAATGACGAAGCCAGTGCGTTCCTCGGAATAGTACCTGCAAAAGAGATTTTGGTTTGCATTTGTCAAAAACCAACTCATTCCTTGTTATCCAGATTGCTCAAAGAAGTGCGGAAGCTGCGGTTAATGACAATGTATTGTACTTTTTGTTTCCCAATTTAGACCAATGATAGAACAAATCATCTATATTTGTGGGAGGTGATATCCCAAAAAGTATCGGTCTGTTCGCTTGTTGGTTTCAGCCAGCCTAAATCAGCCAGCCAACAGTGTTTTCCTCTCACAGAAAACCAGCACCAGCTAGCCTAAACCAGCACCAGCACCAACCAGCGAACATGCCCTATATGTATAGAGCGCCACAAAAATTTGGCATAAAAGCAATAAAAAAAAGAGATGGTGAATTGTCTCCGAAACATGGCAGAAACAACAACTTTTGTCTCCATTCTAATTTCTCCTAGCCAAGTTGTCTTTGATTAGAATCACTCCTCTTTTTAGATACCACATGAAAACTTTTATTTTCATTGGTAGCTTCGTTTGCCAAATATCTTGCGACACTCTCACTCCATTGTTAATTAATGCAGTATACATAGACTTGACTGTAAAAGCCCCAGAGGCATTTAAATCCCATACAAACACATCTCTTTCCTGTAGTAAGTTAATCTGTTGTAAAGAAGCTACAATTTGATGCCAATTTGTTAAGTTCGCACCCACCAAATCTCTCCGAAATGAGATATTTAGTATTGGGGAACTCAAGACTGTAGCTATAATGTCTTGTTTTCTTCTTACAATATTAAACAACGCAGGAAATATATCTTTGAGAGGTTTGTTGCCCAGCCAAGTATCAACCCAAAATCTGGTTTGTGTCCCATCTTTGACAATAAAATGTCCTAACTCCATAAAGTTATCTTTAATATTCATAGGGCTTTTCCAGAAATGCGAGTCCATTGGTTTCTTTTCACAGCTTCCAAGAGTCTTATTTTTAATGTACTTATTTCTTAATAATTCTTGCCACAGCCCATCCTCATTTAATAACTTAAACAACCATTTACTGAGCAAACATTTATTTTGAATCTCTAAATTATGTATCCCTAGACCTCCTTGGTCCTTAGGCTGACACATAACTTCCCACTTGACTAATCTGTATTTCCTTTTGTGCTGGTCATTTTGCCAGTAAAAGCGAGATCTAAAACAATCAATTTTTTCCACCACCCCTTTCGGCAGTTCGAAAAATGACATCATGAACATCGGTAAACTGGATAGCACCGATTTTATGAGTACCAAATGACCACCGACTGTAAGTAGTTTCCCTTTCCACCCACTAAGTCTTTTCCCGATTCTCTCTTCTATACACTTCCAGTCTT